TAATTGTTTTCCAACTATTTAAGTTGGTCTAATAAAAGATATCAGATTCACGCAAAGAACCTTGTCTGCCTATGTTTTTAGACCAACACGGCTCCAACCTACACCCCTGTACCCTTACTACCTGCTTTTATGCTAGTTACTGTTCTCTTGTATGCTGTTAATATGACAACTCTAATGTCCAGTTGGCTAAGGATTCCATCTTTTGTTGTCCACTTTAAATGTGCTTTCTCTCACGGTGCTTCTCACTCATGGAACAACTTAGATGCGTCTCCAAAGGCACCTCACTTTTCCCCTTCACAATCCTCCTTAAAACTCTTTTTTGCTAATCTAACAAAATCTTAATGTTTATTAAATACCCAGTGTACTGAACCATAGCCTATTATGCCAAGTATTATATCTTACTGCTTACCTGCCTCTTGTTTTACACTTTAAGTTCTCTGGAGCAGAACCCACCCTGTCTTTGTACTTGGTCCTGATCCCTGAATGGAGTTCCTAGGTGCCGTAAAAAATATATATATACACATACATATATACATATACATACATACACCCCCCCCCACACACACACATATACACCTACTCTACTCCTACCCTTCCCACTGCAGACCTTACAACTTCTCTTCAAACCTGTCCTCTTAAGTTCAGTTCCTTCCATCTACATAAGATGGAACTGCTCAAATTAAATTCATAGATCAAATAAGGGAAAGGACTTGGCTCATCTAATTTCTTGTACTGTTGCAGGAGACGGCCTTCAGAAAGGGTACTTGCTTTGTGGGCACAGCCCTGAAAGGAATTCCAAGAATAGTGGTCATCCCGGAACAAAACAAAAGGGGCAGACCATCTGGCATCATCAGCTTGAAAGGAACAGGAATATGAAATATAAAGCAATTTTTATAAGATGTAATACAAGAGCAATGCATTATCTATTATAGTTAGTAAGCTCACTCACAGACAAATAATACAAAAGTAAACCTTCTGAGAGAATACTTAGAGTAAGAAAGTAAGCAGATGATTGGAACAACATTATACAGACTGATAAATAATGTCACTTCAATTCACACACATGCCTGTCTTCTCCCATTCAGAGACTATTTATGTTCAAGTGTTTTTAAAAAGACTACTTACAAGATTTCCCATAACGTTATTTCAATTTAGAGAGTGATAAAGATTCAGACTCAAACCTTATGTCCTTCCTAACACCTTTCAGTGCAGCTGAATTTGTTTTAATGGTCCCAGAACTAGACAAGGTACATTATAGGGTGTTTATACAGATGCTCCAGGAGTGTGGGGGGGGAGGGGAGCGCTTTAATTAAAGCAGGTCCAAGAGCTTAATTTCATGTATCAATACCCCTGCACTTCAAAATGAGGGTGGGGGTGCTTTATCTAAACCTTGAAGCCCACCCCCATTTTGAAGTGCAGGGATGCTGATACACAAGAAGCAGGAGGCTGCTAGAGTGCAGTAATTGCCGTGCTCCTGCAAACTTGATTAATCAAATCTGCTCCAATGTGCTCTGAATTACAGCGCATCAGAGCAGCTACCCTGCTTATATATAGACACCCATACAGACCAGTTCTACACTGAAAATGACTTGCTTATATTAGTGCGACAGATCATTGTAAAATTCATCAAACCCTTGGGAAGAGTTTTATTCATATTAAGGGATACAGTGTGATTAAACCACTTTGTGTTAAACTGCACATTTAACTGGTAATATTAATTCAGCTTTGGGTTTAGTGTTATTTGACTTCCTATTTTTTGCTATGGTACTATGAAACTGAAAAAAAAAAAAAATAAAGGTGAGGTTTTAAAGTTACCTTCTTCCATTAAATTGTAATGCAATACCTAAATCTTCAAGATGTCTTTGAAAAAATTCTCTCCCTTGGAACTGCAGGGAAGTTAGCACCTGTGGGTGCATACAAATGTTCATTGTACGCAGTCTATGAAGCTGTGTGCTTGTAGACTGAAAGCCGCATGTACAAGCACTTGCTGGTTGCTGGAGCTGCACAGGGAACCCAGTATAAATAACTCAGGTTGTGGGGAGGGACAGGTAGGATCAAGCAAAGGGCTAGCAGGTCTATGGGAATGTTTTGGTGGGTCCATAGGTGGTGGTGGTGGCTAAAAATAAGCCAGTCAGGTTTGGGGGGACAGGTAGAAGAGCATATCCCTAGGGTGGGAGAGTGCTTGGGCTTTCAGAGCCCCAGGGCTGCAGGCCTAATACATACAGATGTTCAGTAGATCAAATTAACTTACTCCCAATCTAAGTTAGTTCACATACTCAGGTGAAATATATTAGATCAGGCCTGCCTATTTTTGGCTTGATTTAAATCTCCTGGACATCTGCACAGATGGCAATTTAGATCAACTTAACCCTAGTTCGATCGATCAAAATATAACATTTGCACATACCCACAAACTCTTGGGATCAGATTCTATTCCACCTATTAGCCACCTGAGTGAAATTCTTTTCTCCCCTGCTCACATACAGGAAATCCATTAAAACACCTACTTTTCCAGTGCATCTTCCCATTCAGACTTGAGTCGCACACACATGCACAAAAATTGGGAGGAGGAAGAGTAGGATCAACCCATCTTTTACATTAACCATTTTTTCAGAGAGAGTCAAGCAGGTGAAATAAAAATCATACTTAGGCACTTATTGGACCAACTGTATAACTGGAAGTCTTGTTGCTCTTCCTCATCTCACTCAATGCCCAAACGCTTGTCCAACAGAGTTCCCAAATAGCTTTGGTCCAACAGAAGATATTTAAAAAATTCTTATCTCTTGAACATTTCCTGGACCATCATGGCTCCAACAACATTGCAATCCTACTGAGTTTACTTACATACCTAATAGGGGTGTGCGAAGTGAGCCCCATTTGATTCAGATTTGGCCCAAATCAGGCACAGTGATTTGATTTGTCGATTTGAATCACTGTTCCCAATTGAATCTGAAGATTTTATGCTGATTCAGAGAATTAGCAATTCGGACATAGACACAGCTTTAAAAGTTTTTTCTACATACTTGAGGTAGTAGATGCGGCTCGTGATTGCTGTCATGCTGGGGCACACGGAGTATCCCACAGGCGTGAGGGAGGGCTCTCCACATGCTTGGTGGTGAACCCAGAAGTCTGGGTCTTCTAGGGAGCATGCTGTGTTGGCAGTCAGTTGCCGGGGGATCCTGGGTGCCCCCCCCCAACCCAGGAGGCACCAGTCACCGAGCCGGAAGGGGAGGGTGGGGAGCCCCCAGGATGTTCCCCAGTGGACCTGGAAGTGGACTGGAAGTGCTTCTGGTCCACTTCCAGGTCTGCTGCTGAGCACACTGGGGAGCCCCCTGTGCTTCTGTGGGACACTCCATGCATCTCAGCATTGCAGCATTCATGAGCCCCTGCTACCTAGAGGTATGTAGAAAAAACATTTAAAGCTGTGTCTGTCCGAATCTTTGAATCTTTCCAAATCTCTCTGAATCAATTCAGAGAGTTCCGATTAAATTTGTAGAGATTAAAGGGTCCTCTGATTCAATTCAGATTCGGAGATTTGGCCACCAAATTGGGTGGAATTTCAACTGAATTGAATCAGGGACCGAAGCTTCGCACAGCCCTAATACCTAAGAGGTGGAAAATAATTTTGGCCTATGATATATCTGAAGTTTATATTTTGTAAAAATTATAGCACTTTCCCAGATTATTAAAATACTTTCCAAATCATAGTAAATCACATAGTAAATGTCTGGATAGAGACATTCTAATATTATTCTAATATTATAAAAGCCTAAGTCTGACTGTCTGTCTGTCCATAATGCTTTATTCACGCTCTGATTGGCTGACGGAAACAGCCAATCAGAGTGCTCCAAGTGTAGGGGAGCACTGCCATGATTTTGAAGCCATGCCGAGGACTGGACAGAAGGCGGGGGAGCCGAGGCCAGCAGCCCTGGCCTCAGCTCCCTCACCCCGCTCCCTGGAAGAGGCACAGAGGACCGGACAGGGGGTCAGGGAGATGACGCCACCCCACTCCCTGCAAGGGGTGCCAAGGACTGGAGTGGGGTTGGGAAAGATGAGGCCAGCAGTGCTGGCCTTGGCTCCCCCACCCCGGTCCCTACAAGAAACAGAACAGCGGCAGCATAGGGTGTTAGCTGGCAGCACTCCATCCCAGCCTCCTCCCTCCCCGTCATTTTTGATGGCCAATTGGCTAGTATGTCATAATGGTTCAATACAAGTCTCTTTCAGTTAAAAATAAAACAAATTTCTGTGAGCAGAACTCAAACACATGTCACTAAGTTTTGTGTTTTGGAGCCGTGACAAAATTTTCAAACCTGCATACCAAAAGTGAGTTTCCGTAGGAGCTCCAGTATTTTAAAAGCCAAGCACCTAACTCCCACTGAACTCCAGCTGAATACCCAGCTCCTACAATGCTTTCAGCCTAAGGTTGGACTGATTTTTGAAGATGTGGAGAACCTACAGCTTCCTTTGACCTTGATAGATTTATGAGTGTTCAGTACTGTTGGGCATCAGTCAATTTCTATTTGGCAGGTTAAATATATGCTTGAGAGTCTAGCTTCAGTTTTGAAAACGTTGGTCATAATTTGCATAAAAATTAAAGAACACAATACTGAAAATAAACACCACTTTTTGATGAATTCCTGTTTTGTATTTCTAAATAATTTAACAGAACTGAAAAATGGTGATGTTCAGACAGAACAAAAGTTCCAACTATTTTAACATAGTATTTGGAAAGTGAATCATTGAATTTATTGCATTAAAGTTGCTGTTTACTTTGTTTCACCCACAGCAAACTTTGTCTGCCAAAATATATACCATTTAATAAGAAGAAAATATTACAAATTAGTATTAAAAATGCTGGCAGATCTTTAGCCTTAGTGGCAACAGCAGCCCTTGCTACAATTGTGTCAAGATCAATTTTAACCGGATCTATTTAACATATCCTGAGCCATCACATTAAATCTTTCATTTCTTTGTCTTTCAAAGGAATCTGAGCAGAATTGCAGACCAGCAAATCAAATGAGCTGAAGGCAATTTGACCAGCATCTTCTATGTTCTGTCCACAGAGGTTGATGAAGCACCAGGTCTCCAAGGTAAAACTCAGAGCTTAGTCCATTATGGCATAAAATTAGAAGATGATTAAAGTAACCTGTTTTCTTGAGCTAAAAATCAAGCTATCATGGATACTAAGAGGTCTTACCCTCTTCATGAAAGTACATCTCCTCCCTAATTGATATTATTTACTAATATTTAAATTAAATATATGCTATCTCAGCCAATTGATCAGGCAGCACAGACACCTGAGGCACAAAGAGACTGCTTGTTAAGGAGTTCCACCTGTCTCATCCAGGCAGCTATAATAAGTATTTCCATACCACAGAAGACAACCTAGTACTTGAATGACAGCTTTCATCTCAGTTCTTTTGGTCTATTTTGAAATAAAGCTGTAAAATTACATGAATCAACCAAACAACAGAGAAAAAGTAATTGGACAAGAGCTTGAACTAGGTTACAACATTTTTTGGTTTAAAAAGAACAACAACAACAAAAAACCCCACCACAACAGGATACCAGGTAAATGATTCCACCTAATAAGGCACATGACGATCTCAATTATGGGAATCATTATTCTATGTACTATGTGCTATTTCATATTCCCAGCAGGGTTTTTTTCATCTTATCAAGAGTTGAGGGCTGTCTAGTATTTCAGTATATGCAAAGCATACTTAAAGCCTCCCCTTCCCCCACCCCAAAAAGCTCCACTAATTAAAAAAGCCTTGTCAAGTGGTCAGACAGACTGGAACTAGAGGATTATAGGTAAGAGGGATGAAATGAAGGGTTGAAAGCTGCAATTCCTGTGGTAGCTGCAGAAGCATCTGTTATAGACAGGCAAATTAAAGATGTGGCTTCTTGGACTAACAGTCTGGGAACAAGATGTTACAAAGCCTTGCAATAAGTCATCTGCACCCCACTTTTATTATGCAGTAAGTGCTAGTCATCTCTTCTTTTCCCTCTTCAAGTTTCTCTCAACTCGTGCAAGCACTGCACCTTCCAGCTGATTTCTTTCCTGTCCTTGGTCACCAATTCTGTTTCTTTCTTCCGCTCACCTTTTTGTCCTGTGGAGTTAATAGTATTTCCTAGGCCTTTGACTAGTATTCCATGCAGGGAGTTGCCAGCAAAAACAAAGATATTTTTACAAGACAGAGAATGAAACGTGGGAGTGAGGTTAAACAGCCCTGGCTGTATCCATTTTTGCATACACTGGCTGTTTCTAGATTGTGTATCATGCAAAATAACATTTACCATTTTTACCTCTGGGAGATAATACTATTTACACACATTCAGTCCAGCTTCTGGATGGAGAAAGGACAAACCACCACAATACTTGTCACAGATACACTACTTTTAGTTTAAATCTTTTCAGATGAAAAAATGCATGTTTCCTCCCTTCTCAGTGTTTTCCAGAATGTGTATTTGTTGTGAACCTCATAAAAGGTTGTTGGGTGATCTTTTGAATCCAAACTCCCAGAGATGGCATTATTCGCCAAGTCTATAAATGCTAAAAGTTTTATGGGATGCTGCACCCAAACAAAAGCAAATCACCAGTATATTTCCAATATGTAGAAGATTAATACTTCGGGCTAAACCTTAATTCTACACCAGCTATGAATTCCCCAAACTAGAAGTCAGCTACACACCAGAACCAGGATTTGTTCCCTTTTGTCACAATGTAAACACTATGGACTTGATTCTAATTGTGAATGTATACTATCAGGACTGCATATCACCCCATCTGTGTGCACTGTGGAGGGAGGAGGTCTGAAATTGAAACAAATCCACTTCAGATTTACAGCTGGTGCGCTGCCTAGGAACTGGGATCTCAAGATTGTTGGAGCTCTTGAATTTTTGTTAACGATACTGCTGCCAGTTACATAAGTATCTTTGATTGCTGGGGGGAAGGTGTCTCCAAATCTCACTGCAAACATTGGCAACATTCCATAATTAAGGAAGCCTCATAGTTCTTTTATGAGAGTGGTAAATACTGTATACCTTATAGCAAACCAAGGGACAGGAGTTGTGCAACTTATTCCACATCACACAAAGCATTACTGACAGAAGAGTTAGCCTTTTCAGTGGGCCTGTGTTTGTTTACTTGCTCTTTTCACCTCTAATGTAAATCAACTCCTCCACAGTTTTATGCAGAACCAATATAATAATATCGGTGACCAGCAAGTGGATCCTTTGGGTTAACCCCCAAATTAAGAGAGAAATTGTTTGGGGAGGATTGCTACATTTCCTCCCCTACCGCATCTCTGCTTCAGAAGCTGAACCCAGCTTCTGGTTCCTTTTCATTCTAGCAGTTAGCTGACATTTAGCATCAGTTTATGCTTTCAAGTTTATCTACACAAGGAAAAGAGCTAAAACATGTTTTAAAAAGAAGTGCAGGTTATATCTTTATATTTCTTACTCTGTCAAAAATGAGGGCATGTGGCCAAACTCTGTGGTACAGCATATGTAGGGGACAAATAAGTGGTCTTTCTGCCAGACTTCAGAATAGGACCAGGAGTCCTGGTATTACTGCCAGCAGAGCCATCCCTAGGGTATGGTGAACTGAGGTGACTGCCCCAGGCCCCATGCTTTGGGGGGTCCCCACGGAGCTGGGCAGAGCGGCTGCAGCCCCTCCTGTGGGGCCCACCTGGAGCTGGAAGCTCAGCCCCATGCTGCAGAAGAAGCAAGGAGACTCCTCCCAACCTTTTGCGGGGGTACCATGGCCCCATGCAGTGTTAAGGGGCCCCTGCAGAGGCCGATTTGCCCCGTGCTCCACACCCACAACCATCCCTTGGGTAGGGTGAATTGGGGTGACTGCCCCAGGTCCTGTGCTTTGGGAGGCCCCGAGAAGCAGGGCAGAGCAGCTGTGCCCCCTCCCACAGGGCCTGCCTGGAGCTGGAAGCTCAGCCCCATGCTGCAAAAGAAGCGTCCAGCCACTCACTACCCCTTCCTCTCCATCACACACTGCCAGCTTCATGTCCGCCGAAGAATGACTCGTCCAGGGTGCATGGGATCTGCTTGGCCCCAGGCGCCAAATTTCATTGCTAGGGCATCAGTGTGCCCTACCTTTGCAGGGGTCCCATGGCCCTGCACAGTGTTAAAAGGGCCCCGCATATGCTGACTTGCCCCAGGCCCCACACATCCCTAGGATCGGCTCTGCCCTCACCCCCCTAGAGTTGGCTCTGACGGCCAGTGCACTGGACAGCATATAATTGGAGTTCATGATTATCAGTACTGATGTTGTTGTTATTTCTCCTTCAATCTGAGTTTTTAAACAATGCAGTTTTTAGAGTGATGGTTACATTCATGATTCTTTGATGTTGGCAGAATTCCTTTAGCAAGCTTCATAATTCAACCCTATAGTAGAGAAGATGGGACTAGAAAAAGGCAAGAAGGTCATGACACAGAAAGCCCCATGGTTCTCATAGCCAAAAAGAGGAAATGATTAATTTTAATCTAAACCTTTAAGAAGGCCTCAGTCTTGCAGCTGACTTTGGATAGGAGCATACCCATGAGAGTCAGTAGAAGCAGAACAACTGTGAAGTCAAAGTCAGCCTTAAGGTCACACAAGTCTTCAGACAACTCAAAACCAATTTTTTCTTTAAAAATTTTAAATATATATAACTGCTTCTTTATGCCAAAATGAGGATCATTCATGCTATATAAAATAATAGCTTTGATTACCTATTAAAAATGAACAAAAAGAACAAGTTTTAAACAAGGGACAAATCCATATAATTAAGTCTATATATGAAGACAATATGAAAAAAAGAATCTAATGAGCAGCCAATCAATAGATCACAGACTACAAAGGTCAGTCACCAAAAGACTAGAAATGATCCAGGCTAGAGATGATCCAGTGATAAAATGGATTAAACACAAGGATTCTCTCACAGAGGCTAGTTTCAAAAGCAACTCATATGTTACAATAACGTGAGCAGCTTTAGTAATGTGTACATTTATAGCGGGCCTTGATGGAGCAGACAGTCATGATATGTAGTCTTTTATTTGAGGATATTTACTAACAGAGAGCTTTAAGAGGTAAATACTATCAAGATTTTTATGGATGCTGAAAAGAAACTGGATGCATACTTTTAATGTTCCAGGCATTACATGTTGGTGCAATCATAGATAACTTAGGGGTCAAAATCTAGACAGTACCAATTAATGTCAGCCTGAGTTTCTCTATATTAAGTTTACAGGGATATTCAGTTCTGACCAAACATTTTTTTTAAATGAAAACATCCACAACTGAACACCACAGAAGTAATTTTAGAAATAATCAAGCTGCCTCAACATTTTCATTAACTGACTAGTGCAGCCCGTCATCAACTGTGGATGCTAAAGCAGTCACAATAAGTAATGATATTCATGGAAATGGGTCAAAGAAAAAACAAGAAGAAACTACAGTAAAGATTCTCAAGCAAAAAAAAATACCAGTCCTCCAGAACAAGCCAAAATCATTAATAGAAAATACAATCTACAGCAGTCCAAGAACATTATTTATATTGTATTTAAGTCGTATTAGATTAAACAACTGTCCAAAGTAGTACATAAAAAGGCCCAACCAGACTCTTTCAGAAATTTCAGAAAATATTTGAAAGTCACAGCAGCTTCTCAAGAGAAACTTTTAGTGCTTTGATGTTTTACAGAAACCCCTCCTGAAAGGGATCAATAAAAAAACCCAAAACAGATACACTCTAGGGAAACAAACTCAACCTCTGCCACATCATGAACTAACCTTCACTTAAAAAGGAAGATTTCCAAATTTGGGATATTAACTTCATTTTTTGTTTAAAAAGGGAAGTTTACCTTGAGCTAGATAACAAACAAGTTAGTTCCCTCAGGCAGTTCTGGCTACAGCTGATTTACAGCGATCCACAAATTCCTTCTCAACATGGTTTAATAATTAGGGGAAGAAGAGAAAAGATGCTGTTTTACACAATGTTCATGTTATCCTAAGGCAGCTTGATCCCTCTGATACAGACTGTTAAGAAAAGGAAAAAAAAACCCACTTACACATGTATTCAAATGTATATGACAA